CACCCCCAGGGTACCCCAGGACACCCCCAGGACACCCCAGGACACCCCCAGGGTACCCCAGGACACCCCCAGAACACCCCCAGGACACCCCAGAACACCCCCATGACCCCCCAGGACACCCCCGAGCAGGCGGGGTCACACCGAGAGCTTTTATTGGGAGTGGGGGCAGGGCAGGGACCCCCGCCCGCCCCCCCCGGAGCCCCTCGGAGCCCCCCGGGAGCCCCCAGGAGCCCCTTGGAGCCCCCCGGGAGCCCCTCGGAGCCCCCCGGGAGCCCCCCGGAGCCCCCCGGAGCCCCGCGGAGACCCCCGGAGCCCCCCCGGTCACTCCCCGGCCGCGGGGGGGGCAGTTTTGTCGAAGAGCCCCGCGATGTCCAGCATGGCCTGGCAGATGTTGCGGCCGAAACGCTGCGAGTCCTGCGGGGAGAGACCCCCGGGGGGACCCCAGACTCAGGGGGGGGACCCCAAACCTCACAGGGGGGACCCCAGACTCAGAGGGGGGGGACCCCAACCCGCGAGGGGGATCCCGACCCTCAGAGGGGGACCCCAACCCCCGGGGGGACCCCAGACTCAGGGGGGATCCCCAGACCCCCCGAGTGACCTCTCAGTGACCCCCCAGACCCCACAGACCCCACAGAGACCCCCAGAGTGACCCCACAGACCCCAAAGTGACCCCACAGAGACCCCCAGAGACCCCCCGAGTGCCCCCCCAGACCCCCCGAGTGACCCCCCAGCCCCCCCGAGCCCCCCCCGAGCTCACGGGCCCGAAGCCGCCCCCGCTGGAGACGTGGTCGGGGAATTTGTCGAAGTCGAACATTCGGAGCTGCTGCTGCGGGGTCTGGCTGGTGGAGAGGCGCCAGGGCTCGGCCAGCACCTGTGGGGCGGCTGCTGCACCCATGGGCCCCACCGACACCCACGGAGCCCCATAGCGCCCCACTGTGCCCCATAGCGCACCCCACTGTGCACCCATGGGCCCCACCGACACCCATGGGGCACCGCTGTGCCCCATAGCGCACCATAGCGCCCCACTGTGCCCCATAGCGCACCCCACTGTGCCCCATAGCGCCCCTCACTGTGCCCCATAGCGCCCCACTGTGCCCCATAGCGCACCCCACTGTGCACCCATGGGCCCCACCGACACCCATGGCACCGCTGTGCCCCATAGCGCCCCTCACTGTGCCCCATAGCGCCCCACTGTGCCCCATAGCGCACCCCACTGTGCACCCATGGGCCCCACCGACACCCATGGCACCGCTGTGCCCCATAGCGCCCCTCACTGTGCCCCATAGCGCCCCACTGTGCCCCATAGCGCACCCCACTGTGCACCCATGGGCCCCACCGACACCCATGGCACCGCTGTGCCCCATAGCGCCCCTCACTGTGCCCCATAGCGCCCCACTGTGCCCCATAGCGCACCCCACTGTGCACCCATGGGCCCCACCGACACCCATGGCACCGCTGTGCCCCATAGCGCCCCTCACTGTGCCCCATAGCGCCCCACTGTGCCCCATAGCGCACCCCATGTGACACCTCCCTGTGTCCACCGACACCTATGGGGCACCCCATGGGCCCCATAGCACCCCATGGGCCCCATAGCGCACCCCACTGTGCACCCCATGGGCCCCACCGACACCCACGGCGCCCCATAGCGCACCCCAACTCTGCCCCATAGCGCCCCACTGTGACTCATAGCGCACCCCACTGTGCCCCATAGCACCCCACTGTGCCCCATAGCGCACCCCACTGTGCACCCCACTGTGCCCCACTACACCCCACAGTGCCCCATAGCACCCCCTGGCACCCCATAGCACCCCACTGTCCCCCCTGCCACCCCCCGCCCCCCCCCCCCCGTGCCCCAGTCCCGGAGTGACCCCCGTGCGGTGACACCAGGGGTGGGTGGCACCTCCCCCTTGTCCCCCCCCGTGTCCCTCGTGTCCCTGTCCCGTGTCCCTCCCGTGTCCACTCGTGTCCCCTCATGTCCCCCCGTGTCCCGTGTGCTGCTGCAGCGTGTCCCCCCGTGTCCCTGTCCCTGTCCCATGTCCCTGGCCGGTGTCCCTGTCCCCTCATGTCCCCTCGTGTCCCGTGTGCTGCTCCCTCCGTATCCGCCCTGTCCCCCCCGTGTCCCTGTCCCATGTCCCCCCCGTGTCACTCTCGTGTCCCTGTCCATGTCCCTGTCCATGTCCATGTCCCTGTCCCTGTCCCATGTCCCCCCCGTGTCACTCTCGTGTCCCCCTCGTGTCCCTCTGTGTCCCGTGTGCTGCTCCCTCCGCATCCGCCTTGTCCCCCCCGTGTCCCCTCGTGTCCCTCACTGTCCCTGTCCCCTCGTGCCCCTCTCGTGTCCCGTGTCCCGTGTCCCTGTCCCTATCCCTGTCCCCCGTGTCCCTGTCCCTGTCCCATGTCCCATATCCCTGTCCCGTGTCTCCCCC